TTTTTTAGAATTATGGCAAATAAGACACAGTGGCGGTGCAGTCGCCTATGCCTGGGAGGTGCATCATTAGTCATAATCACTACGAAATAAATCTTTACTGGCGACTCAGGCGTTAGCGTTAGAGTTCGCACTGCCACAATGCTCGGTTGTGATGTTAAGCATTAATGGATTCAAATATATTTATAGTTAGAAATACGTTTCGTTCCTACCCTTAGACGGAAAGAGAACTCCCTAAGAACACCGACCGCTAAAAGAGCATCAGTGCCACGTGGCATCTGAATGAATATCGATTGAAGGCGCGTTTGAAAGGAACAACACGCCCACAATCAGTATCAGATTGAAAGTAAAATGATTTCACCGTCTTGTCCATGGTCGAAGAAGTGCAGACAAACAAAAGAATTTTTCTTTATGCAGTGGCATTGACCGGATGCTATATTATAAGATTGGAGAATAACAGATGTCCGTATCTTAATGCGATAAATTTAGAAAAGCTTTTGATTCTTAGCAGTAAACTTAGTCTAAATCTGTACCCTTTCCAGAGAACCTGGACCAATCCTGAATTGTGCCCTCTGCGACAGTCAAGTGTTAAGCAATGATAACGCAATTCACACGCACGTCAATCAACACGCGGATGCTGGAGGCTTTTGGTGCAAACTGTGCGGAGCTACCGAAACGGACAAATATCGAATCTATGAACATATGCGTGTCAAGCATCCTAACAATGTAGGTCGCTTCCTCTTATGCTCCTGCTGTTTCCCCTAGATCTCATTGTTTTTAGCTGGAACTTTTTGAAGATCGCCGAGATATCGTTAAGCTTTGTGTGGTCATCCAAGAATGCTTCCCACGTGTGTGTCCTCGCACGAAAAAAGACATGGCCAAGGATTTTGATAACTTATTGAAGTTAGTAAGACTATCTTGAAACAGTAGATTTTTTGCTAATATTACTGTTTATAGGCTCATTGACGAAAAGAATCTCAGTGAGGTGAAGTGCGGAAAATGTGAGACGAATGTGAAGGCGACAAAGGCGGCGATGATGAAGCACGCACACTGCCATCCTGTTTACAGGTAAAACTGCCAAAAACTGACTAAAACTTTGATAACAAATTACACTTCGACCCTACAAATTCTTCATAAAATCGACTGCTTAGAGATTAACATCAGTCTGAAATAATTATAACTGTAGTACGGCTTTCCATCTTACCCCAACAAAGCTTTTATTTCCAGTGCAGGGGGTTTCTAAAGATCCGAGCAAAAATGCAGTGTAGTTGGCTAAGCTGTTTTAATATGCAAAACACCACATCGCATGGACACGCTACGGCCTGGGTCAGTCGGGGAAAACGGAGAGCAATGTGGGCAACGGGAATTGGAATTCTTGCTTAATCTGCTCGCGCCTGCAGCAGTCGATCGATTGGCCTAAGAAACCGCATGATGGAACCGCACACGTGTATGGATGCAGTCGCTCAGGTGCCAGTTGCGCGCAAATAGATTGCACAGGAATGTCAGTGGCCAACGATTTCCAGTACTGGGTTTTGAAATCTTGGAAAGTGGAGCACAAATTCAATTGAACTAAATGATTGCTTCCAACATAATATCAAAACTAGCCCATTTTTGCCGATTTTTCCACAT